ATTATTTCGGCCATAGCAATCGTTCCATGGGCCAGGCTTCATTCTAGGAACCTCCATGATTCCTACTCCCCTTCCAAAGACTCAACACCAGTTCCTCCAATCGGAGGGTAAGAGTCCCTCATCACACCATGCTCAGAGGGTCCTATTTCAAGGAACCTGATCAGCTCACCCTTACGACCGACGCCAGCCTGTTCGGCTGGGGAGTGCACCTTTGGTCACAGTGGGTCCAAGGCCGATGGTCCCGCTCAGACCTCCGGGACAATATCAACTGGCTGGAGCTCAGGGCCATACACCTAGCGCTCCGTCACTTCCGTAGCATGGTAGCGAAGCGTCACGTATTGATCCTCATAGACAATGTAGTGGCAAAAGCCCATGTGAACCAGTAAGGGGGCACCCGATCCCATGCACTCTTGACTGAAGCCCTGTTGCTGGGCTCCTGGGCAGAGACCAACCTTGCCTCCATCAAGGCCGACCACATATCAGGGGAGGCAAACAGACAGGCGAACTTCCTGAGCAGGTCAACAGTGGAACACTTGGAATGGCGCCTGCATCTGGATATCTTCAGAGAGATCTCCAACCGCTTTGGCCTACCAATAATAGACCTTTTTTTCTCCCTGATGAGCACTCATCTACTGAGGTTCTTCTCCTGTTTCTCTTCCCCAGGAGCAGAAAGGGCGGATGCTCTCAGGTGTCCTTGGCCGGAGGGACTGCTCTATGCCTTCTCTCCTCTCCCTCTTCTTTTGGCGGTTGTCCGCAAGCTCCTTCGGGAAAGGGCGGAGTTTCTTCTAGTGACTCCGTACTGGCCGTGGAGATCTTGGTTTGCCGATCTCGTGGACCTCTCCATAGTGCCCCCATGGAGGATTCCTCCGGAACGGGTCTCACTCAGCCAGGGGACCCTGCTTCATCCGGATCTTCAATGGCTCCAGTTAGCCGCCTGGCACTTGAGTGCAGGATCTTATCCCAGGAGTACTGCTAGCCTGAAGTCATTACCATGATCCAGGCCTCCCGTTGGCCCACTACCAACCATATATATGAGGCCATCTGGGGGAATTTCTGTTTGTGGGGCACAAACCATCACTTGACTTTATAGGACTTAATGGTTCCAAGAATCTTAGACTACCTTCTGGAGGGTCTAGAATGGCGGCTTGGCTCCAATCACGTTACGCAGACAAATCACTGTTCTCTCCATCCTACTTACCTGTGACACCACAGTAGCTCTTGGTCAACACCCATTGATTCGCTCATTCATCAAGGGTGCCACAAACACGAAACCCCCTGTGGTGGAAAGGTACCTGTCATGGGAACTGCCGCAGATTCTCTGGGCTCTCACCAGGCTGCCCTTTGAGCCTCTCAGGACGTGTGATTTGTGATCCTTATGTCACAAGGTCGCCTTCCTGGTAGCAATTACTTCCGCGCAATGGATGTCTGAGTTAGCTGCACTTTCCACCAGGGATGACTTATGCATTTTTCATCGGGACTGAGTGGTCCTTCGTCTAGACCCTACTTTTGTCCCCAAGGTCAACTCTCTGTTCCATAGGGCTCAGGAAATTGTGCTTCCAGATTTCTGCCCTAATCCATCTCATGCTCTGGAATGGCAATGGCACCTTCTAGACATTCGTAGGGCACTCCGTTGCTACATCACACGGACGGCTGCCTTCCGCAATTCCAAGGGCCTCTTTTTTCCTTCCGCCCTTCTTCCAAGGGACGGAAGTTATCTTCCTGCATGATTGGCAGGTGGATCAGGGCGTGCATTGCAGGGGTGTACCAGTCTGAGTCTTTGCCGGTTCCACAACATGTCACGGCCCACTCAACCCGTAGTGCAGCTACTTCGGCGGCTTGGGCCACTCATGTGTCCATTGAGGACGTTTGTAGGGCGGCTACGTTGTCTTCACTGTCGTCCTTTATACGACACGATAAACTGGACAGGTTCGCCTCGGCAGAGGCCTCCTTCGGTAGGAAAGTTCTCCAACAGTTTGTACCTCAAGATGACACACCGGACTGGCCTGCTCCCCTTCCACAGGTACAGTAGGCTTTGGTATGTCCCATTGGTGGATTCTCCATCTCCAGTGCTGGAGAAGCGGCGTTGTCTTACCTGAATGCCTTTTCTCAGCACGGAAATGGAGAATCCATTCCCGCCCTCACAGGTCATTTAGGCCTAGGGTTAGATTCATGAGCCAACACATCTTGCTGTCAGTCAGTGGCTTCGCCCGTGTCGAGACTGGGATACCTTAGCCCAGGACAGGCGTAGCATATTTGGCTGACTTGATCTGATTGGGCAGGAACACAGTCTAAACCCATTGGTGGATTCTCCATCTCCGTGCTGAGAAAAGGCGTTCAGGTAAGACAACGCCCCATTTTTTAGTGGCATCCCCTTTCTACATGTCACATATAAATGTATTTTTAACTATGTGAAAATGTTTTGATATGTTGTGCTTTTGGTGGTGCAGAACTAACATCAGTCCACTACTTTTAATAAGTAAAAGTGCTATATAAGGGCCGTAGTGATGCAGTGGTTAGAATGCATTATTACAGGCTAATTCTGTTGACTGCCAGGAGTTTGATCCTCATGGTTCACTCAGCCTTCCATCCTTCCAAGGTCGGTAAAATGAGGATTCAGATTGTTGGGGGCAATATGCTGACTCTGTAAACTGTCAGGAAGGGCTGTAAAGCACTATGAAGCAGTATATAAGTCTAAGTGCTAGTACTATAGATCTGTTGTTAATGTCTCATTGTCATAAGGTCTTAATCACTGAACCTATGAGAACCTTTAGCTTGCATTTTTAATTCATTTCTACGTTTATTCCATAATATTTTGAACTTTATCTGAAATGCTTTATGCTTGTAGTATTTCATATATCCTAGTTACTGAAAGTTAATGTGTAATATCTGAAATGACAAAAAATATAACATTTGGTTTTCAGTTAAAATCTTAATGGAATTGGGAATATAAGTGTTAAGTGAATTGTGATAATTCATTAAAATAACCAGTTAAAATTAAAACAAATTATATGGATTGCTAATGTTTAGATTGCTATTAGTTAATATTAGTATACAAATCCTTGTATATAATACGTGTGAAATTATGGAGAAAATTTATATCAGTGTGCTGACTTGGAATGTATTATATGCAGTCCTTGGGTTATCACAGTGATCAGGGCCAGGTTTAAAGTTATTAAGTGACACAATCATAAAGCATAACTTCACATGACTACATTACTTAGTGACAACAATCCCAGCAATCCTGGTTACCATTGTAAACCCAATATTCAAGGCTGAGGGCTGAGAAGTGGAGTATTATAGTGCAACAAATGTAGAAAATTTGGATTGTGGGGCATGTGAGTGCAGAAAGGCTAGGACTGGATGGTATAACACTAGTGCAGCAAAGCTGGAAGGATTTACCAGAGTGACTTGCTACCTTCCCTATCAGCTTCCTCATTGATTTTGCTTATGGGAAGCTATAGGGAGATCTCAAATGACAATCATGTGATTGTGGGTTGCTGCAACTGTCATGTGAGCTGGTTGCCAAGTAGCCACATTGCAAGTTCTGGTGCTACCATAGCCAGAAAAAATTGTGGACTGATTGTTAGTAATATTAAATTCCAATTTCAATTGATTGCTGAACAGGTAGTTGGTAAGTAAGGTCTACAGTACCCTAAACTATCTGAAGAAGGAACAATGTTGATACTAAGTGGTAGATAAGAATTTTCTTTAAATGGCATTTTTTTTTTTAGATTTTAGAACAATGGTGGGGAATGATTGCCCATTAAAGCTGAATGTTAAAATGGTAAAGTACATAAATTCTGCATGATGTACATAAAATTTATATAATGCTTTGAAGTTTATGTAAAATGTATGAATATTGTCTTTATTTATTTGCCAAACAATAGACTGACTCTTATTTCAGAATTCAGACTTTGTCCATTGCATGCAGAATCTGCTCAGTAGGGAATGAGGTTTTACTGTGCTGCTAGAGAAGTAAAGAGTTTAATTTTTTAGCATTGTACACATCACTCATAAAATTAAATCTTCTGAAAAGTCTTTGAATATAGAAAATAAGAACCTTCTGTTTTGTAAAAAGATCTGATTGTTCATATACTCAAATTCACTAATGTATCCTCTGGTTTATATGATTACTAAGAATAGGTTGTAATGGTAGTGCAAAACTTGATATAAATAAAATTGGGATCTAATTTCACTAGTTTCTGTTTACTTTATCAATGTAAAGTAGTTAGATGGTTCTTTTAAAAAAGAACAAAAATATTTCACAATCCCTTTAGTATTTCTGCTACCTATGTTATTCGTGTGATAAAGATGAGTTTGAAAGATAATATCCAAGCAAGGTTTTAGTCTAAAGGAATATATTTCCATAAAAAATGTAATTTCAGAGTCAGACTATGGCATGCAAACATGCATAACAGCCATTAAAACTGAATGGAATAATAATACGTTAGAAGAAGGAAACTTTATATAGGGAGGTCTATTTATGGCAGTAATTTCACACAAGAATTCCATTGCTTAAAAGTAAAACATGAATATAAATTTAAATTATTTAAGTTAGCTAAAGGGTTTATTAAATTTGAATGTGATTTTTGAAGATTTTTAATAAACATTTTAATTTAAAAGTATTTTCAAATTAAAAATATTTACTTTTTAAATATTATTGAATGTCACCTAATGTCACTGGATTTCATTGTACCTATAACTAATGCTTTGTCAAACTTTCTCTCCCTAATCTAGGATATTTTAATAACATTGAGGCATAGCTTGTATTTTCCCAAATGGAAGCCATGAAATTTCAAATTAATAATATGGAGAAGAATATTTTGCGTAATTCAGTGTGATACATAGATGTGTGTGAAAGTTTTCTTCCTAAGACCATGGACAGCTGCTTTCATTCAAAGTAGATAGTACTGGTTTGATTTGTTAAAGGCAGGTTCGTGGCTTGTTAAAGGATTCTCCTGATATTGTCTAACTCTAATTAATTATTCTTTATGTTAAAGGTTTTACTGCTGGCTCTTCCCCCCACCCTACAGGATGGTATGAGATTTGAAAGGAGACGATGCATACAGGTAACTTTTTAAATTTCAAAAATCTGTAAAAATGTTTTAGGATTATTTACAATATATTTTATTTTTATTGAGTTTTAGCTCAGAAATAGCTATTTTCTATGATAATTGTTATCCTTTGGATATTTATGTACTTATGGAATCAGTTGGAAGCAGACATTGAATTCAGTATATTGCTCAATACAGAAAAGTTAAAGCATTTTTATCAATGTTTGGGCATATATCCAGCAGAGGGGAATTCATACCTCTCTTGATAATTTAGTTTTGTTGTCAAACTGTTATTACTATGAGCATTAAAAAAAAAATCATCTCCAATCTGGTACCTGTAACTTTTAAAACCATTATTCTGTGTCATACCTTCTGGGAGATAAAAACAAGTTTTGATCTTTTCCTGTGTGAAGTCAAAAACATATCTAATTTCTTCAGTCTCTCCATGTAAGATTTAAATTTTAGTTCCTTGATCATAGTTGTTGCCATACTTTAAAATTTGTCTACCGTATTTTTCCGGCGTATAAGACGACCCCCGACTTTGGTGTCGATTTCAACGCTTTCAGAAGTTGTCTTATATGCCGGAAAGTACGGTAGTTTGTTTGAATCTTTTTTTAAAAAATGTAATGATCAGAATATACCATAAGTGGTAGAACCTGTTGTTTTAAACATGACGTTAATGTGTGCCACATTTTAGTTATCATGGAACACAGCAATGTCACACTGATGACACATTCAAACGGTATCTGGTTCTGTGAGACTCCAAAATTAAATAGAACATAATTATTTAAAAAATAGTGATTGAAATCATACAAGAAGTTTTCATGAAAGTTTTTTGAAATATGAGCCATTTAAAAAATAATGGTCTATGAATTTATTCATGTACCAGAACAAAGGTATAAAGATAACTATTCCATTCTGGACTATAAGCATAATATACCACTTCTAAAAGCCCTTCAACTTCTCTGCAAATACAGATTTAGTTCATTGGATGTGGTCTATTATCATTTAATAGTTACAGAAGCATTTAATATATAATCCTCCATTTGTTGGCTGCAGGCTGCAGTAACCCTATTTCTTCACTTAATAATGCTAGTATATATTCTATATGTTTGTATATTAACTAAAAGCTTTTTTAACATTTATCTCCAAAGACATTTAAAGTTACTAAAGTGGCATATCATTTATAAAAGTATAATAAAATGGCAGCTTGATATTTTGAAAACAAGAAAAGTGTTGGAAGTATTCAGCAATAAATCTGCTTGTAGATTATATACTGCTTTTAGCTATGGCTATATAAAAATTCTGACAATCTGCTTACTTTTAGTCTTGCTTTGTGTTAATAAATACTCCCCCCAAATGATTTATATCAAATCAAAGCATTACAAAGTAGTTAACAGTCCTGTTTTCCAGCATTTTTATTACTTAAATTAATTTGTACGTTTCACAGTAAAGATTTAAAATTATGATTTTGTGATAAACTAGAGATCTTGGTTAGTGTATTGCATGACCTTAGTTTAAGAGAGGAATCATAAGAGTTACATGCTAAATTACATGTATGTTAGATGCACTATATTTGTAATATATTTGTTTTTCATTCGCTTTTTTTTCCAAATAATTAGAAAAAATAAAGGAAAAAAATAAATGCTAATGTTGCTAAAACAACCTCAACATTAGATCATAATACATATGGCATCTTCTAATTTCATAATTTCGCTGTGCTTCATCTTTCTCCCTTATATGGGAGAAACATATTGAGGAAAACAAGAAGTACTGTCTGCATTCTCTGACTGGGAAACATGTCTGCAGGTCCTGGCTGAGGCTTTTCATTTCGGCCTCACTTCTTCCTCTTCAGGAGGAATGTAATATGGATAAAGTATGCAGGAGCAGTCTAACATGATTCCTATTTGTGGGATGCAGCAGACAACTCCTGATTCATCCTTCCTATGTGGGGTAAAACTGACAGGTTTGTCCCACTATTTTCCTTTGCAGAGAAAAGATGGACCATAGGCAATGGATTGGTAAAATAAGCTAGATAAAAGATAGAAATATGGATATGGGTAGACAGATATTGGGGAGGGATATCATTCAGAACATTGCAAACTGGATGGGTTGGCCTTGTATGCTGGGGGTTTTCCCATTAGTGGTTAATTATTCTTCTGTGTTATAAAAATTATTCACAAAAATTTTATACCAATATGCATTTTATGAAGATACTGTAAAATTAAAGTTCTGACTTCAAATACATGCTACCTGAAAGTATAAAGTAGTATTGGGTGAAGTGGGGCTTTCAATCATACATGTATGAACATAATCGTTGTACGCTATCATAAAATTCCTTGGAGAAAGGTTAAGATTTTATTTATTCATCAGATTTATTTGCCACCCATCTCGCGGTTCAGGTGACTTTGAGTGGAGATAATATGCCATTGAATATATAAAAGAAAAGTACACTTACATTTTGTATACATTTTTTTAATTAAATCAGTGTCAAAAAATAAAACATAAGAATTAAAACAGTGCAAAAAGAAATTTGGAAGATGCATGTCTAGTTATGCATACATTTCTATATGATGTTAAAGTTTTAAATGTATTCTGCATAGTTCTTTCTTCTTGGGTCACTTTTTTTGACCAAAACAATTTCCTCTACTTTAAAATCCATTGATCCTATCCTCAGTTTTCCAATATTTGAAATAACAAACTGGGCAACTAATAAGAGTAATTGAATCAATTATGTTTTTATCAGTATTATGATTTAGAAAAATGGATGGTACACAAAAAACAAATACAGTGATTAAAAGTTTTGAGTGATTTATAGAGCAACTTCAAAAATTCTTACCAAAAGAAAAGAAATAAATAGTTGGCCATTGCCATCAAGTCAATCAACCCTACCTAGTAAATGTATAATAGTATAGTGTATCTTTGGCTGAATGTAGCATCACCTGTGGATTATCTTCGTTGGGGAGTTTTTGATAACTTAGTGAGATAGATTTAAATGACGTTCTGTGCCACAGAATGTTTTAGTGACAATTAAGTCCATATCCCATATTTTTCAGACATTTTTCAAACTTCAAGAGAACATGTTACACTAACGTACAAATTTTATACAATATTGAAGAGTTTCTCTTGATGTTAAATGAAGCAGGTGTGTATAATTATTCTAAGTTGTCAATAGTTATAATAGTACTTATAAAGGAGCGACTGAATATGTCTTATTTGGAACAGCATTTGTGATCATTCCTTTTGCTGAATATATTCAGCATTAATGGACTTTCCATTAATAATCAAACCTCTAATTGTATAAAATCCTCTATCTTCCCACTCCTTGTATTGAACAAACTTATTTTCGTGCTTAAAAGAGGATGATCGAGGAATGCAAGAAGAGATCAGGAGCCAAGGATTGTTTCCACCTTTTCAAAACTTCTAAAGTAAGTTTTAAGTATGAATTTGTAACAGTAAATATTTCTTAATCTCAGGAGGAACAGTATCAATTTAACTGATAGGAAATCCAGTGATAATGCAGTTAATGCAGTACACATGCCATTTTATTTCTTAATGATTTAATTTTAAAAGCATGAAAATAATGTTTTAGTTTAGCAAACTTCCATCAAGCTTTGGTTATATTGCATAGGTGCCTAGTACTAGATTCTTAAACCAATGCATAAATGAGGGAATCATTTGCTATGAAGGAAATCAGGTGTTAGGTAATAGATTTAGGAGTATTTGTAACAAGAAAAATAATATTAGAGGAAAAATCACATTTCATGATTTGCTTTGTTTAAAAAGAATCCATATCTTATCCATTGATACTAATTATTGCTTGTGCCAATCAATATAGTTAAATTTTTGACATGCAAGGTTGCTTAAAGTTTGGAATTGCAATCTTGTGCATGTTTACTGAATATTGAGCACAGGTAGCCCTTACGTCTTTCAGCGACAGTTCAAAGTTACAATGGCACTAAAAAAATGAACATATGACTTGTTCCTAAAGTTATGGCCTCCATGAGCATGTGATTAAAATTTGGGTGCTTGGCAGCCCACACAGTTACAACTGCAGAGGTGCTTTAACTCTCCCCCATGTGCCAATCTTCCCTCTATTTTTGCTTTTTGAAGTGCCTTGCACTTCATTACATATCTCTGCTGCCACTGCCACCTGCTGCCTGTAGCTACCCTTTACTGTCTTCTTCCTCCTGCTGGCCTAGGATCCAGGCACTGAGTGAGGGTGCAGCTCTGAGGTGTAGGATAATAGAAAGGCTTGCTCTTGGATTCACCTCCTGAAAAGTTTTGCCAATGGAAATGTCTCTACAAATTTTTGCCCCTGGAAGTGCACTCACTGGGAAGTGAGGCTTTCCAGTAGCCCATTGATCATGGCTGCATATTTACCAGTGCTTGGCTTGTGAGCCAGGAGCGAGAAGAAGATGGAAAGTTTAGCAGGAGGCAGCAGTGGTAAGGTCTTTGAAGTACAGGGTGTTGAATAGGACTGTGGTTGGGACTGAGCTGGGATAGTAGGGCTTCCCAGGGCACAATGGCTTGGTGGAAGTGAGCTGCTGGACAGGAGTGTGGCTGGGCTTTGTGCTGTTGCTTGAACTTTTTGCAGCCCCAGAGTAGTGGTGTGCTATAAAGCTGCTTAGCCACAGTGTATTCTTTCACTGGCTTTCCTAAGCTTGTGCTGCACTTCAGCAACCCTTCCCCCAACTCATGCAGGTTACACCAAGCCTTTCTACCCCCTGCAGCACCCCTATGTTCCTTATGTAGGGTTACCACCTCTTCTCGCCTAATGAACTACATATCTTGGGGTTATGAGAGCAACTGGGATCGCTGGGATGGCTGTTGCTATGTAATGTAGTCACACAATATCTCACTTTATGAGTGCATCACTTAGTGATGGAAATTCTCTCCCATTTGTGATCAAGTCGAGTGTTACCGGTAATACTTATCATCCTCTTGTCTACTCTTTCTATTACATAGGAGAACACTTTAACCCTACTTGTTCAACAGAGGTTTACATAATTTTA